TGAATATATTGCTTGAGAGAGAGTTAGGGGAGGGGGAGAGACCTCAAAATAAATAGGAAGGGAATATTAAAGCTTCTTTCACTAGGGGGAAGACTCTTTAAGTGTGTCACACTTGTAACTCTGATCCTAGGTTAGGGCTCTTCCACCTTCATGAAAGGAATTTAATAATCTGCCTTGGAGAAAATGTCATGAATGTGGACGTCCAGTAAACTGAGCCTATGCAAGCCCTAAAGCAAATAAGTAAAAATACTGTCATTAAAAAGCAGCTGAATCTCCTGTGCTGCAAAGAAAACCCCTCTTCAGCTCTGCTGACATAACCCAACTTTGCTGGGCCTTAAAATCTGACCAGTGTTTGCCTCTGAGGAAGCGTTTTTTAGGTGGCCTGTTTTCCAGGTGGTTTTCCTTGTCTCTTAACACAAACCTAAGGGCATTCAGTGATTTTCAAAACCAATACAAGGGAATATTTTCACACAGCTTGCAATTAAACTGCAGATCTCTTTGCCCATTATGTTGCTGAGGCCAAAAGTTTAGCAAGCTATAAAAAAAGGAGTGGACAGTTTTATGGAGAACACAAGTCCCACAGCTAATGCTGATTACAAAATTATCAACAGAGCATAAACTATTCTTTGACCACTGAGAATTAGGATGAAACCACGAGGAACAGATTAGTCTACAGTAAAGAAATGAGGAATTTCTTACAACTTTCCTTGTAGCATCTGACCACTGTCCTAGAGAATATATTGCATAAAAATTGATGTTGTCTTAACTAATATAATGATTCCTTTTCTTCTGTGTTTCCTGTTTAGGAACATTAATGGCTAATGGCTTTAGCTCTTGCTCTGTTTGGAATTCTGGAAGTTAATAAAGTGAATAAGGTGAAGCTAATGTTATCTGCCTTATTTATAAAGCACTTTGAAAACTACAAATTGAAAGGTGTGTGGTTTTAGGCTAATTCACTAAAGCAGTTGTATACTGTACTGTCTGGACTATGACTTCATTAATGATATCAAACCTAATTATGTTTGATACCTGGAAGGGAATAATACACTCATTGAAGAGCAACACACATCTTCACCACTGTCTTGAGGTTCAATGAGCAAGACATCCCAAGCTCCATGACATTTTCCCTGGGGACATTTGCTGGGACTGGCACTTGGGAGGAGCAATCAGCAGGTGGTGATAAGGGAAAATGTGAACTAGGGCTATGCACACACAGGTAGGGACTTCCATGGATTGAAATAGCTCAAACATTTGTGTGTGGTGTTTATTTTTTGTTGTGGATTTTTTTCCTTGTGGATCCATTTAATGGAACTAAATTATACAAATTCTTGGCATTTCCATCATGCATGAACTGCTATAGCATGAGAAAACTACATCTCTCATTGTTTCAGCCCCATTAAAAAGGAATAATAGCCTCAGGCGGGTATTTAGGTGAAAAATGCGGTACAAATATTTGTATCCATATGCTAGAATTTGCACACAAATCATAGCTGAGGCAGATGTCAGGTCAGGAGTCTGGAGCTAGCAATAGTTATGAACATAAAATCACTGTGACGTATTTTAACACCCCTTTGAGACATGGGGATTGTGGCTTCCTTGCTATTGGGTAGAACTTAAAATGTTGCATCATTCTGTGTTTGGAGTAGAACTCCACAGATGCTTGGTAGAAGAGAGGAAGAAGTACAGAGTTCAGATTAGACTGAAAGTTTTGGCATATTGTTTGATTTGAAGATGGAGTGCATTTTGTAAATATGATCTACAGTCATTTTCCCCTTGGAAAATTTCACTTGCATGGGAGACCTCCAAGGAAAATCTAAGTGATGCAGAAAGGATGCCATTCTTTCTGAACTGGTGTTGAGTCAGTGTTGTCTGGGCTAGGGGCACACGTTACACATAAACTGGTTTAAGTCATCAGAAACTGGTTTAAACCTGTAACAGATGTTTGGTGCACATAAACCAGTTTGAAAATGGTTGAAACTGGTTTGAGATAAACCTGGTTGAATGTAGTATCAGACTTACCTGTTTTGGGTCAAACTGTTTTATGCAATGCTTGTCCCAGACCCCTTGCTGGTTTAAGTGAAACCACACCACTCCAGCATCCTGGCATGCTCTCTGAGCTGGGTGGGGTTCTCTGCTCCACAGCAGAGCTGGTCCTTCACCTCTGCTCTGTGGCTGGAACTTGGCAGAGACTGCAGGTGACTACTTGGCTTCCCCCCTCTCCACTAATCTGGGATCCTCATCCCCTCTGTCTTGCACAGACACCTCTCAGCATTGGTCAGCAGACCACATGCTTGCTACAGTCTGTGCTGTGGCAGATGGGACAAAGGCAGAATCAACAGTTAGCTAGTAATGTCCCTCTTGTTTTCTTAATGGGGAAATAAACACTGAGTCAGGGGTGTTACCAATTCCCTGCTGGGCTGGTCAGGAGTGGGGGGAACCCCCTCCAATCAGTGTCCTGCCAGGGCCTGGCCACGGTCCCCTCAGTTCAGCACTATAGAAGGGAAGGGAGGGCTGCTGTAGTGCCCCCCGGCTTCTAGTCTGAGCCACTGCAGGCACATGCCTGCATTTCTCGGATCTCTGCAGTTACAAACCGATTCAGCCTAGCCAAGTTAGACTAACATGCAAAGATTTAATCAGTTCAGGTTTTTTGAATGTCTGTCTGTAGCCACAGTGTCCTGCTTGCCACAGTGTATGATCATGAGCTAGAAGTAACACTGTTTTAAGAGAAGCTGTAAAATGGGGAGTTGGGTGTCTATAAGACTTCATAGACATTAGGGCTGGAAGGGACCACATAAGATCATCCGGTCTAGCCCCCTGCCCAAGGGGCAGGAAGTAGGCTAGGGTCAAAGAATCAAAGCAAGATAGGCATCCAAATGTTTCTTGAAAGTGTCCAGAGTAGGTGCTTGCACCACCTCTGGGTTGAGTCTATTCCAAGCCTTGGTGACTTGGACAGTGAAGAAGTTTTTCCCTATGTCCAGCCTAAAATGGTCTTGCAGGAGTTTGTGACCATTGGTCCTTGTCTTCCTCTGGTGAACAAGTGTTCGCCCCGATCCTGATGCACACCCCTTATGTACTTACAGGCTGCCAACAAGTCACCCTTGAGCCTACGCTTCTCCAGGCTAAAGAGTCCCATAGCTCTCAGCCTCTCTTCATAAGGCCTGTTCTCTTGCCCTCTGATCATGTGTGGCGCTCTCTTTTGGACTCTCTCAAGTTTCTCCACATCCTTTCTGAATTGTGGAGCCCAGAATTAGATGTAGTACTCCAGCTGCAGCCTCACTAAGGCTGAGTACAGAGGTACATAAGGATCTTGTGCTCCTTCTCAGTTAGTATTAGTTCCACTGTCCTGTCAGTATTCCAGTTAGTATATGTAAGTTTTTGTATCGTAGAATTATTTAGTCTGGAGAAGAGAAGACTTTTGGGGGGTGGGGAGTGAGGGAATCAGAGGGGGAGGGGATTTAATAAGGTCTTAAAGTACCTGAAGGGTGATTACCAGGGATTCTGGTTTTCTCTGATTTAAAAAAAAAATCCCCAATTTTCAAATTTAAAAAAGTAACCCCAAATCCACATTTTTCATGATATATATATATATATAACAGTGTTTCATAGATTCATAGATGCTAGGGTCAGAAGGGACCTCAGCAGCTCATCGAGTCCAACCCCCTGCCTAGGCAAGAAGAGTGCTGGGGTCAGATGACCCCAGTTGGATGCCTATCCAACCTTCTCTTAAAGACCCCCGAGGTAGGGGAGAACACCACCTCCTTTGGAAGCCAATTCCAAATTTTGGCCACCCTTACCGTGAAGTTTTTCCTGATATCTATTTTAATCACAGAAAATGTGAATTTTGGGTTACTTTTTTTTAATCCAAAAATTGAGGGGGTGTTATGAGAGAGAACCAGGATCCCTGGTGATTACAAAGCTGATGGACAGGGGCTTTCCCTGATTGCCAGGGACAGGACTAGGAACAATAGCCTCAAACTGCAGCAGGGGAAATTCAGATTGGAGATTAGAAGGAACTTTCTGACTACAAGGGTAGTAAAGCACTGGAACAGGCTACGTCTCTACCTCTAGAAATTGTGGAATCCTCCATCTTTGGAAGTTTTCAAAAGCAGGTTGGCCAGACACTTGGCTGGGACAGTTTGCCCAGGGATGATTTTGCCTTGAGCAGGGGGCTGGGCTAGAGTGATTATGTGAGGTCCCTTCCAGCCCTCCTTTCCTATGATCCTATAACCTAAACTTCCTCTGTGATACCAGCTTGAAGCAGTATTTTCCATCTGTTCCTGAGTTAAACTCCTATCAAAAGGTTTTTGGCCTGAATCCTATATGAATATCTATAGAGAGATCTATTGTCTTCAACTGAACTCTCTATGAGGGAAGAAGTCTGCAATAGCAGATTGTGAGACACGTGTCCTTAAATTACTTCTCTAAAGCTTTCATTGGGTCTTATCTTACACCCAAGTATTTTCCCATCATTTTAAATGTAAAAGGCTTCTGTGTGAATAAGTCTCTCCTGTCCCTTAAAAGAAAGTATTTGGGGTGGCTTGTGCCATGAACTGATAGTCAGGACTCTTGGCTGTCACCAACTAGCTGGATGAACTTGATCAAATAACTCCGTATGCATCTGTTTTCCCCATCTGTAAAATCCTCTATAAAATGAGGATAATACCTAGTTCCAATGGCTGTTGAGAATTAATGTTTTGAGCGTTTTTAAGATCTTTCAGTCAACAGCATTATTTTAAGCCCCAGTGCATTATGATGCATTTGTTTTTAAACCTTTGATTACCTGGGCTGTGTAGTCATAGAGCACTCTGTAGTTCTGTGATGATGTGGCTGCTGCATGTTCACCCACATTAATGGCTGCATAGACCCCATCTGTTTTCTCTGCTAAAAATAAATACAAAGAATCAGCCTCTTCTAAATGCAAGGCTTCACAAACACAAGGGTCTCTCTCTTCTGTACGCACAAGGACACGTGTGCCTGGGAAAGCTGCCATGACCTCTTTAACTAAAGTTATGCACAACAACTGTTGTAACTGATGCGATGACAATGCACTTGGTAGGCTCCTAGAACACTCAGAAACTAGCTTCGAACAAGCGTTAAGAAAATATTTTACCTGCTAAAACACAGTCCTCAGACTTGTAAAGAAATGTTATAATATAGGTTTGATGTATGTGTTACTATAGGTGCAAACTTCTGGTGGATGAATGACTTTCCAAAGGGAAAAATAAAGCTACCACCTAAAATGTAATGCATTGACGGAAAAGTTCTGTGATCTTTGGTAATAATTTATATAGTGCCATGATAGTAATCTGTTACTGACTTGACCTTTCTGAATGATGTTGATCTAATCCAAACTGTCATAACTGACAACAAGAAAACATTCATTCAGTGTCATTGCAACAAGTATAAATGCTCCACTGAGAGAGCGACATATTGGCTTTATCTACACTGTCTGAGTTTTAGGAATATAGCTATAATTATGTAGATAACCAGCAAAATTCTCTTAGTGAAGAGGCAGCTGTATCAATACTAGAATGCCTATGCTAAAACCTATGCTAGTTTAGTATAGTATGTTGGTAAAAATAAAGAAAAAGAAATCCAATACAGTATAACTAGCATAGCTGTAGATCAAACCTAAGGAGAATTCCAAAAGGATTTGATCCTGCAGCACTAAATGAAAAATTTGTCCTCAGACCAGAATCTCCTATTAGGGCACTCTGTGCACAGAATTTAAGGTGCGGAGATTTTAAAGGCACAAAGCATTCACCTAACTTTGCTCTTGTTGAAATCAGTGATATCAACTAAAAACACAAGCCCTGTAAGCAAAGGCACAATAAAGATACAGAATTTTTAGAAACATGTCACAATTGTCAAGATGAATGTATTCACAAAATACATGTCATAGTTTAGGAGTTTGTACACAGCTTTTAGAATATTAGTTTAGTCCTGGCTATGTAAAATAACTTATTTCTGGCTTTGTTTCTTGTAGCTTCTCTTCCTATGTCTGCAAGGGCCCTCTTTCTGCTGGGGGATGAAGGGGTTGCTCATGTAAATCTTCTGTGTACCAGGGGGATAATAAAGCAGGCAAGAACCTCTATAAACTTTCCCACAGTAAATCCTGGTGGGTTTAAGGCATTCCTCTTCCAAGGAGTGACATGAGCTCTCTGATGGGTATGAGAAAAAAATGGCTATGATTCTTCAGGTACCAAAGGATCTGAGTAGAAGATGACCCCCAGTAATTAAATTCTACATATGGAAAATTCATAAATTTGTTCTAATTTTCCAGGTATAGAAGTGAACTGTTGGAAGTTGGCTTTGATTTGTCTCCTTCCTACTGCCACAACAGGGACAATAAATCTTGGAGGAAGGGGAGTTAAATGGCCCCTTTGCCTTCTACCTCCACAACTTTATCCCCCCACCCTACCTTATCCCCCTCCCACCCCAAATGTCACACTCGCACCAGAAAGTGAGAAGTATATTTGAAAACACTGATGTGATAATTCGTAAATAGGCACAAGTCTATAGGTACTCATAAACTAGTCTAGGATTGATGCATTTCACCTTTTAACATAGGTACTCCATAAACACACCTTCAAGCAGCACTTTTATATCTACTTGTATATAGTACAAACTATGCATGATATTAATCCAAAGCCAAAAGGGTCCCAGCACAGTCAACAGCATCTCAAGCCAGGGTGACCCCATGGCTAGCGCTGCTCAGTATGTGTGTGTATATTCCAGATACTCACACAAAGAACCATATGCTAATTAGTCCCCATCATGACTGGAACCTTGGTGTTTTTGTAGTGAGTCCTGGGATCCTCTAAAAATGTATATGCAGATGCAGCAAAGGGCAACCTGGTCCAGCTCCACCTCATGGAGGGCCCATGCTAATCAGAGGGGGGTGACAGGGATTCTGGGTGGACTGTTTGGGGCCACATTTGGTGATGTCTGCCAGGCATTTAAGGATGGTAAAGAAACAGGAGTCACTGGAGATGAGAGTGAAAAGTGCAGCTCAGCTGAGTAAAGAGGAAGTTGAAATGTATGCCATCTAGTGGCTCACTGGGCATGCCTACACGTGATTAATGTGCACGAATAAACTCTGGAGCTTATTGCAAGTACTACCCATGCAATAAGGCTATTTATTTTATAAGTACTACCCTGCTGAGGAGTTTTAGTTTTGTGTGCCCTAATAGGGGCACATGTTTAGATGCCTAGATTTTTACTGTGCAGTTAATTAGTCAACATGCAGTAAATGTTTTGTAGATACATGTGCACAGTGACTTGAAAAGGATGGCATTGAGGGGCACTAAGTGCAATGGGCACTATTATACATCTTATTCAGATGGGCTGTACTAACCTATCCTTGTGGCAGGTTCCTATCAGCATCTTGGCCTTTTGGCTAAGATTGAGTGATCAGCAGAAAGCCTGATCCAGTGCCTTCAGGGCAGTGTGTCAGGATGCCAGGAGTGCAGGAGGAAAACCCGAATCCCAAAACAATGGCAGTGGTGGCAGGAGGTCTGATATACTCCCCATCAAGCCTAGCTCAACAAAGCCTTGGGTGGGAGGATCTAATTGGGGCTGGTCCTGCTTTGAGCAGGGGATTGAACTAAATGATATCCTTAGGCAGGGGTGGGCAAAATGCAGCCTGGGGGCTGGATGCAGCCCACCAGGCCATTCTATCCAGACCACAGGGCCCCTAAAATTTTAGAAAATTAATATTAAACTGCCCTCGGCTGCCTGTCATGCGGCCCTTGATGGCTTGCCGAAACTCAGTAAGCGGCCCTCTGCCCAAAATAATTGCCCACCCCTGTCCTAAGGTTCCTTCCAACCCTAATGTTCTATGATTCTATTAAATCAGACTGCTAGGGATCTTGATGGATGCTGAGGAGAAAGATAATGTAGCATGGGAAAAGGCGACAGCAGGGATGTGGCAAATACTTTGGTTATGTTTCAGAAGGATGCTGTCCTTTGCTGGAAAAGTGGCGGTAGTTAAGGCTGTGCTACTGCCAGTTATTCTATATATGGGAATTGTATTCCCACTGATGTGGTGGCAGGTAGCAGCCACCTTGGGGGCTGTCCGAGCCCCCAAGGTCTGGAACAGCCTGCCATCGAAGGCGGTTCAAGCACCTACATTTGAACACCTTCAAGAGCAAATTGGACGCTTATCTTGCTGGGATCCTATGATCCCAGCTGACTTCCAGCCCTCTGGGCGGGGGGCTGGACTCGATGATCTTCCGAGATCCCTTCCAGCCCTAATGTCTATAAAGTACAGAAGGAAATATGTGTGTTCTTCTGGAATGCCAAAAGAGAAAGTTTGGCTAGAGCTGAACTGTACAAAGCAAGAAAGATGCAGGGGGGGAGAAGGGGGAGGGGATGGGAGCCACCGAATTTGGGGTTGTTCATCTGCACGAAATATGTAAGTGTGATACATAAAATGGTAATGGAAGGAGATGGGAAAGTAGTATGTTTTACCCAATTTCACACAGTTGCAATTTTGAGGAATTGGGGAGTATATCAGACCTCTTTGAAGAATCCATGGGTGTGGCTTCCGCTGATTCACTATATGAGGATACAAGGTTTCATACAGAGGTATAAAATAGGGAAGGTAGGACTGGAGGAAGAAATTGATGAAAAGCAGTAAGGGGAGAGACAGGATGATGCCAGTGGAAAACTTCACAGAAAGGACAAGCAAAGAAGGTGTAGAAAGCAGTGGTGGGTAAACAACTAAAGGGGAACATGCTGACCTAGTGTGGATGGTTGTAAGAAATACGTTGCCAGTGAGAGGTGCAACACAGATAGGGCTTGACAGCTCATTAAGATGCCCAAGGGAGAGATTTGGGGAAGAAGAAATAGTGGGGTGTGTTTTGGGAGTGCACATTAGTGGTGTTGGTTCCTACCCTGGGGGTCTTTAAGATGAGGCTTGACAATCACCTTGCTGGGGGTTGTTTGACCCCAGTACTCTTTCCTGCCATGCCGGGGGTCAGACTTGACGATCTGCTCAGGTCCTTTCCGACCCTACTAACTATGAAACATATGTAAAAGTGGATGTGGGAAAGGGTCGGTCCTTTCTGAGTGTCACCAAAATAAACCTGTCATTAGCGCGGGAGATGGTACTATTTGGACTCATACCAAACGGACCAGAGGATATGTTATTAAGGACTTTATTAGCATGTGTTCAAACTACTTTATAGAAAGTAAGAAACCTCTGGGTATGTAAGGGATTGGCTTTCACTGAAAGTGTGTGCCTGAGCTGGGGCTGTGCGAACTGAAATATTACATCAGTTGGGACAAGGAAGATATCAGAGAGGAAGAGGCAGAGGAGAAGTGGAGGAAAAAGGACTGGACACACTTGTCTCACCAAACCAACAGAGATGACTGATGAGAGGGGCAGAGAGTTTCAGGTGGTTACTGAGGTAACAGTTTTTCTGTGGGTTTCTGTAAGAAGAAACAGACTTCTATAAGGGCTTCTTTTTTGTGGGAAGTAGATGTATGTTGCTTCAGGGTTTAATGTAGTTGTATGTTTTTGATATGTAGTTGTTTTTGCAATATGAAGTCTTCGTAAAACAAGGGTGTTCAATATGTGAAGCTTTGTATGTGTAGGATGATAAGTGTGTGTTTTAATACAATTTTGTAAATTAAAAAAAAGGTTTCTATTGGTATGTTTGCCCAATATGAACTATCTGTTTTATAGCCATGCTCAGTGTTGGCTGTATTTAATCAGCTTCATAGTTGGTTTCCATTACTGAGCATGTGCTGCTATTGACAGTAATTTAATAGACAATGTTTTTAATGATGTTTTCTTAAATGTGAATGTACAATGAGGACTTTTCGTGGGGGAGCTTTATTGGGGGAACCTCATCAATAAAACAGAATTGTTCCATTTTTTTGAAGGACTTGTTTCTCCGAAGAAATAAATGTGTGTATTTAAATATAAGCACACTTATGTTTTTCATGCAGTTACTCGCTGCAAAGCACAGCTCATTTAGCTGTTTCTGCTCTTGCCCTTGTGTGTTGCAGAGTGGTGTGGGGGATTTGTACCCCCTGGTTCTTTGTGCTGGCCATCTCAAGGAGTCTTTCCTTGTCATTTGTGGGAGAACTTGTGGGGAATTGTGAAAAGGCTTTAGAGAACTATCCAAATGCAGGCAATTCAGCCTGTTTCTTCATTGCAAAGAATGTAGGTTATAGCCAGAGCTAGAGCAGAGTCTGGGTTCTTATCTCTATCCTCAGGCTTAAATCACCTCCAAACCCAAGTCAGAGGTTTTTCTGTATTGATGATGAAGTGCAGATTTAGCTAAAATCCAGGTTAGAGGTTGGGTTAACTGCACAGTGAAGAAAGACTCGAGGTAAAATGTTGCCGTAGAAAAGGGCAGTTTGTAATCTCCATGGAAGGTAATACATTGTGGTATGCTCTAAGCTACCTGGTAGTCTTTGCTTTAACCTGCTAACTGGTGTGAATGATAAGCTGCCTTATTTTTGCTGGAATTTTACCTTGCGTTATTCACCCCATGCCAGCTGGCACAGGCAGCTATGAGCAGAAGAGGAACTGAGATGACAGCATGTAGCAGACCATGTGGATAGCACACAGCAACAATTCAGAAAGGGTTAATGAAAGGGTTAATCACCATCTCAGCTCTAAATAAGGAGCTGGTTTGAAACAGTTGCTAAAAAAAATACTGCAGCCCAGGCAGAATGAGGCCACAAGTGGAGGCTGCCTTGCTGCAGGCTTGGAGAAATAAAGGAGGAGTAATGTGGTGCAAGAGGCTGATCAACAGGGAAGGTAGAAACTGGTTCAAGGAGGCGGAAAGTGATCAAAACAGCAGACCATAACTGTTTAACACAGAGGCCCTGAGCTGACAGGCAGACAAGAGAGTAGACCTGGCTTCCCTTAACCCCCCACCCCTGCAGGAAGGGACGAGCCAAGGGCTAATGGGCCCCAGATTGTGAAGAAGCCCAAGGCGGCTTTTGGGGTTGGGTTTGAACTCTCTCCATGAGGGGGAGAGAGACAACTGTTATAGATGGGAAGGTGTAGGGGAGCCAAGGGGCTTCCATGCCAAGCTCAGATACAAGGGGTTGCTGCAGACACTGAGACCTTTGAGGAGGCCTGGGCTTTACTATAAATATGTACACAGTGGGGCAGAAACGGTTCACTTTTTAATGTGCTGTTGCACAGGCACTAGGGACTTGGCTTTGTGAGAAACTGAATACCTTTGGCTTCTATTCAAGTTCTATTCAGAGGAACGTGACTGAAATTCATGAAAACAGAAATCGCTTGGTGCCTTACAGATCTAACTTGCATTGACAGCCCTGAAAATTTTCTGCAGGCTGGGGTCAAACACGAGGCCCTACAGAGAGACGTGTTCAGTGTCTGGGTGGCCAAACAGACAGGTATGCACAACAAAGAAAACTGGTTTAGGTACATTGTTTAAGCTGCTTAGAGTCTCAGTTTGTTCCTGAGGGGAGACGTGCAGGTGAAACGCCCTTGTCTTATTTTAAATCAAGCCAATACAAATGCCACAAGCCATTATTACCTGTGTTGTCAAAATACTGTGCTGCAGCACCCTCTAATGAAAGAATCACATAGGTGACATGGGATTTGGTATGGAAAAATAATACTGGAGAAGAATGGATGCTCATATTTACAGAAGTGCCAGGTTGGGCCAACAGAAGTCTTGATAAAAATTCGCACATGCTTTACACGAGGCTGTATATCCTATAGGAAAAAACTGCATTCTCTACACCCCAATATCTGGATCAGAACATACATTCCTTGCTAATACGCTGACACTAGCTTGTTAGATAGCTAACACATGGACTGTCCTGTTACACTCCAAACAACAAACATGTGCATGCTTGATTTGAACTGATATGACATTAAACAGATATGCTTTTAAAGTTGCATTTGAGGAGGGAAAAACATACCGAGAGGAGGGGCTGTGGGAATAACGGGTTCACTGATGTTTTTGGTATTTCCATGTAATAATCCAGAGAATCTGTAGAGCCAAAAAAAGCCAATGACAGAAGGTAAAGATATTAAGTATACTCCTCACATCCCTGACTAACTTAATCTACCCCTCATCTGCTGCAATCCTGGTTGTTATATTCACTCACCAGAGTGTGTGTGTGGTCTGCAACTAGTTTTTTGCACTGGTAGAGCACTAGATACCTCTATTTTTGTTAAAAGGTTCTCAAACCAAGTTACATATCAAATCTGCTGGAATTTGCCAGTCACTAAATTGTGTATAAACTAGATCCATTTTTATTATTTTTACAGAAGTTTTGCTTTATGAACAGTTGAAAATCTAAAGGCACGTAAGGCAAAGCACCCATCATCCCATTGTATATACCTGATAGGTCTGTTCGTTAGTCAATTTGAGTGGTTGCATTTTGTTTTAAAAAAATCAGAAGTGCTGATGCAACTGAACATAAAAAATACTTCATTCAGGAATACTGATTATCACAATTTGTCAAGATACATCAGACTATTGACTTTCCTCCTTGGATGTGTTCAGCAGCACAGCTGGCCTAAGGACAGGGAGAAACCAACCAAGCTGGGAATCTGGGTCAAGAATTTAGAGAAAAACTAGTAATTTCTTTCACTGCTGACTTGGATATTGTAAAGCCCTGATTTTCATATGGTCAGTGCTCAGCCTTTTCTGAAAACTGAGCTTCCCAAATGATCAGAAATTGAAGCACTCAAAGTGAGTCCTCACTTGAAAGTTTGGTCCCCCTCTCTTTCCCCATCTATACCAGTACAAAGCTACTGGGCACACATCTGGTGGTTTGAATCAAAATGCAACTTTCATTTGTAAGATATTCAGTATTAGAAATCATTAACTTTCAGTTGGAAATCATATCTAACATATTAAAATACTCTTCTCCAATTTATCAGGCTTGCTAACCAACAGGGCCTTGTATAGCTTTTTGGTAGTCTTACAGATTAAAAAAAGACTCAAATGTAACAGTAAAAGCAGTACAGCTTATACTGTAGTATGAATGACACTTTATAGTGGTATCTCAGTGCTTATGCCAGTACAGTAGCCAGGAATAAGCTATACTGAAATAAGACATTTACACCAGTGTAAGTGTATCCACACTACTCCTTTTACTGGTGTACCTATTTCAATATAGAGAAAAAGACCCCCTAACTAACAGGATTATACCAGTAAATGTTTATACGTGTAGACCAGGCCTTATTATTTGTGATGTTTGGCATGGTGCTGCACTGAGGCTTAGGACAGAAGTTATTGCTGAAGATTTATCTGGCCTCCCCCTGTCCTCACATAAATTTATTCTTGGCCACAATTGTCTCACAAAATAAATGAGTCTTAATTACTTGCTGGGTTTGGATATAGTGACTGAGCAGTTAAGGCAACAGCTCTAGAGCTATAAGTTTGAGCCCCACTCTAGACTTGTACTGAAGACTGCTCTCAGCTGTAAAGGAGTATCTGGTTGTTCAGGCTGGGGAGTCGGAGGTGGCTGGCACATCATTTGAAATATTTGCTGACCAGGGAGATTCTTCTAAATGTAGTCCTTTTCCCTGCATCCTAGAAACACCGACGTGAATTATTAATTCTCCTGTACTTTTAATTCCTTTGTTCGTGTTTGTTGGTGTGTGTGTCATGCGTATTATTTTCACCACACACAAGTTTCATTACTTGTAAGATTCTGATTTGCTCTAAAATTCATGTAACTCTATCTGCAAGGGACCACATCTTTGGTACTTACTTTTTAATCATCCCACAAGACTGGGTTGGGCTGCCTTTAGGAGGTTCTCTGTCATAATAATTTTCATATCCTATTGGATCTGCAATAGCACAATAAAAATCAGAGAGGTAGTCAGAAGGCACAGTAAATATGCATCTTTATAGACTAAATAAGATTATATGTATAGAGGGAGAGCACAAACTTTCTTGGGCTGAAGCTCACTTCATCACATGCTGTGAAAGGATTTGCAGAAAGCAGAGTATAAGAAGCACAGGCAATGCCAAACGGTGGTCAGCACCATTTCAAGTCATGGTTAAATTCTAATCCAGAAATCAGTTAACTTCATAATAACTGTGCCACATTAGTTATCCTATAGGTCTTTTAGTAGAAAAGAATGGCTATCCTCTATCTGGGGGCTAGCGCTCATTCAGCTCTATTGGGTTTTTCAAATGGTTAATTTTGGCAGATATTCAGAAATTCTGTATATATTTGGGGATTTTATTTATTTATTTTGGCCTTATCCCCAGGTGTTATGATGCTGGCCTTGCCTAGTCAATGCCTGTATAGTGACAGTCTCCTAACTCTTACTTCCCAAATATAACTACAGTTTATATTTTATTTTCATTTATTCATTCATTCCCTCTTCTCAAATACAGAAGTATTGCTGTTTTTCACTGTCCACTATGCTGTCAGTCAAGCTCAGAATTGGGGCTGTTTTAAAGTCAAACTTTAAAAATAAATGATCTCAACCTCATTATTTTTCCTCAGACATGCAGAGCACTTGTGGATCCCACAGAAGTTATTTGGTGTGGTGGGTGTTCAACATGTTTGAAAATCATGCTCATGGAAATTTTGGGATTTCCTGACCATGGTAAAGATGTCCTTCTGTTACCCTTATAAAACGTCAGTTTGCAAGACTCTGCTTCCAGTATCCACACGCGCTTAGAATTTACTTGGAAGAAGGAAGAGAGCATTACCTAACAACAGAGAAGTACTTGTCTCTCGCATGAGATTATAGTTTCATAGTTTCTAGGGTCGGAAGGGACCTGAGCAGATCATCTAGTCCGACCCCCTGCCATGGCAGGAAGAGCACTGGGGTCAAATGACCCCAGTAAGGTG